AGAAACTGAGGTGTGGGGTGCCAAAGAGGAGGGACAGGATCTCCATGCCCACGTGGTCCCAAAACTTCATTCCCACATCCACGTCCACGCACACAAGGTCATCCACGACACAGAGGATGCGCTGCTCGCGGAATCGGCTGATCATAGCTATTTGCCGCATGGACACATCCTGCCAGAGCAGAACGCCACGGACCTCGACGACCACCACCCTCCGGCCCTCCCAGAGTGGCACTCGGGGCACAGCAACCAGCTGGTCGGTGGAGACGTAGTAAGGGACCCTGTGTCAACCATGATGACCACCACCCTCTGGCCTACCTGGAGGGCACATGGGGCCCTGCAGCTGGCTGATTGGTGAAAACCTAGTAGGTGACCCCATGTCCCACCATGTAGTGCTTATCTGCTGTCTGCAAGAACAGCTCCAGGAAGACCATGCATCCACAGGGGCAGTGGACAGGGCAGGAAGAGGGTCACTGCCAGAGGCTGGCAGCAGGCCAGAAGAGTTAGGGGCCATGGACGTGTGCACCTTCTTCAAGGGGGCAGGCTCTGGGTTGCTTAAAGCAACAGCCACCTCCTGACCTTCTTGAGGGAATCTGCCAGCAGGACCTCCCTAATGTCTGTTCCCAGAGATGGTGGCCATCAGCAGCCTGACTTCCAAAGGGGAACCTGAGGCTTTGGAGGCTGGAAACCCATGCAGCTCCACAGTCAGCATGCTGGAGCCAGTCACTCCCCCTGTGCTGAGCTCCTGGGCAAACTCTTGCAGGTGTCCTCCACTGCCCCCCCTGCATATCCCATCCCCACTTTCCAGGTTGGAAGCACTTTTGGGCACAGCCCTCATTTCTATGTCTTACAGAGCGGCCAGAATCAGCAGGGCCGGACACCTGTCCCACTTTGCTTTGAGTGGGCTGCCGCTGGCCCCCAAAGACCTGTCTTCACTTCCTGTAGGGTCCTCCCTGGAAGGCTACTGGGCATCCTGCTGACAAGGTGCTCAGTAAGCCACTGGTATTCCTAGGAGGGGTCACCCTCAAACTCTGCCACATCAGTAATCAAGTCCAGCCCGTGGACAGGGAAGGCAAAAGACGACACCAGGAAGAAGAGGGGGCTTGCTTAGGCCCCGGCTTGAATCCAAGTGTGTGAGCATCCAGGTCCAGGTCTACATAAGCCCGGCCCCAAAGGTTTCAAAGTCTTATCTAACCACGTCCCATGGCTGGTCCCCTTTTAAGGGTACCACCTGCTCCCCCCTGTGAGGAAAGCAGCTCCCGCATTATAGGCAAGTGTGGTGAGCCACTCTGGGACTGATGTTTTTGCATAGGCGCTAAGGCTACTTCCCTGGACCTGCCCCATACCAGGCAGGTTAGTAAATCCCTCACACAGGGAAGGCTGACACTACATTTAAATAGGGGATAAGCACACTCAACCAGCAGACATGAGTCAGGTCACCAGAGGGCAAGTCCAGACCTAGCCAATTGGGGAGCAAGTCAGATATGAAGCAAGGGGATAGAAGAGGGATCTTGGCAAAGGGCACAGTAAAAGCAAAGGCTTTTCGTCAGGCCCAGGGCACATGTGGGACGACCACACACTTGGGTGGCTGTGGTGGAAGAGGTGAGGCTGGAGAGGACGGGTAGGAAGGGAGCATACCACAGAAAGGCCCAAAGGTTATGTTCCGAAGACATCACTTTAGATACCAGAGGAGAATGGGTTCTGTACAGCAGAGGACAGGGGTACCCTAACCCTAACCTGAATCCCTAACTCCTAAGCCTAGCCCTAACCAATATTACCAACCCCACAAAATCAGCAAAATGCATTCCTGTACCTTTCTTAATATAGATGTAAGAAGCTAGATCAGAAGAATTGCAAAACCAAGAGCTGATAAATAGACTGTGCACCCTAAGCAAGTGGGTCTGCACAAACACCTCAAAGGTTATTCAATAGAGTGAAACAAGCAATGTTATACATCACAATGAATTTTGAAATAAAAACATGTGGTCATATTAATTGATGCAGAAAATGTTCTAACCAAAGTCCAATATCTGTTGCTGATATAAATACTCATGAAAGCAGGAATAAGGAGTAATTTTCTCATTAAATCTCTAGCAAACACCATGCTTAAGTCTGAGGATGGACAGCTCTACTCTGAAATCAGGAACAAGGACAGGATGCTGGTTTTCATCTGTTGCTCAATATTGGACTGAAAGTTCTACCCAGAAGGTTAAGCCAAGAAAGAAGGCATCCACATGTGAAAGGAAACACTAGAACTCTGTCTATTCAGAGACCAGGGATGACATCACCTTATATAGAGCTTCCTAAAGAATCAACAAAAAATGATTATAGCCAGATACCTAATTCAGCACAGTTACAGGACAAAATATCAATACACAAAATCTCTCTTATTTGTATACACTAGCAATGAATCATCCAAAAAGGAGTTTAAGAAAACAATTCCATTTTAGGGAACATCAATATTAACCAAATATTTATGTATAGATGTAATCAAGGTGCACATCTTGTACACTGAAAGTTACAAAACATTGCTGAAAGAAAGTAAGGGAAACCTAAACAATTCTGAAGACACCCCATGGTGATGAGAAGACATGCTATTGATAAGATGGCAGTAGAATACAAGACGATGTGGAAATTCAATGTGTTCCCAAGAAAATTCACAAAGGCCTTTGTGAAGAAATGCACAGGCTAATCCTAACAGTCATATGGAATTTCAAGGGACCACAAGATAGCCAGAACAATCTTGAAAAAGAAAATCAAAGGTGAAAATCATAGTTCCAAAGTTCAAATCT